AATGCAATACGTCGTCTGATCTCTTGACTGCTGCTTCCATGAGTATTGATAGTTGATCCAAGAAGAATGAAGTCATTGACAACTTCAATCCTTTCTCCGCTGATAAGAATGTTAGGTAGGCAGTTCACACTCACTAGCCGCTCCTTGAAAACCCTATACAGGGTCGCTATGAGTTGGAACAGACTCCACAGCACTTAACGACTTGGGTTTGACCTCATTAATGGAACAAAAGAAAATCCTGTTTCCAAACAGCTGCCGGCCGTGGGACTTCCATACATGTTCTGGGAGGAATGTGTGGGGTGTGGACACAAGTCACCCTACAACACTGAGTCTTTTTCTTACCCCCCACTTCTGCGGGGGACCACATTCACGTCACAATTTTCACCGTTAAAGTTGCCTGTGTTAACCAGCTTTGAGGTTGCTGCCCAGCGCCCTGTGTGTGTAAACTGACCAGACAGGGCGGTCACACAGACCAACACACTCATACATCTATTCAGGTCTTCATTTTAAACAGTCTTTTCATATCCAAATCCATCCTAAAGTGTGCACACTAGCTGTTTCTAACGTTTTATGACTTCAGATATATGCATACATGCTGTTAAATGCTGTTGAGTCGGCTCCGCCTCACAGTGGCCCAGCATAGGGTTTCCAAAGAGCTACTGGTGAGTTGCAACAGCTGACTTTGTGGTTCAAACCAACCTTGCGATCCACTTCATTGTCCCGCAGCGCTACCCCAGGACTCTTATGTAATCAGAAGCACGTGGCTACGTATAGTTACAGTTTCCCATTTCCATGATCTTACCATTCAACCAACCTGTTGATTCTTTTTAGACAGTGTGCGCTGATGCGGCAGAACATCTGCCGTTTTATTTCAGCATGATTGTACAGTGCTTAAATGCTCGACTGCTCACCCAAAGGTTGATGGGTTTCAACCATCCAGCAGCGACACGGGAGAAAGACGTGGCTTCCGAGAGATGACCTAATCACATGGGGTTGCTGAGCTGGAGCAGACTGGGCAGGAAGAGGTTTGATTGGCACACTATTTGCAGTACCTAGTGATGTAGGTGGTTAAGCATTCAGCTTCTAACCAGAAAAGTTGGAGGTTCAAGTCCACCCAGAGGCACTTGGCCATCTGCCTATAGTCACCACCACTCTCCCTGTTACGTCTCCTCTGCCCTAGGCTACCTCTCCTGTTGGAGGCTGCCCTCACTGAACTGGGAACACCTTGAGAGCTCTTGGTTCCACTCGGGCCTGCACTCCCAGGACAGAGGCCAGGAAGTGACCACATCTCTGTGGACACAACTCAGCGTGTCGCTGTCTAAAGGCATTTTTCTGTTTAACAGCTGCCACCAGCCTAGGGCCCCCTTCCCCGCAGACCTCAAGGGAGGTTCCATCAGCCCCGGGAGACCTACAACCGGGCAGGCAGACTGCTGCTGGCCTCTGGGTCTGGTCTTCCAATGGCTGCCCAGCTTGCCACAGGCCTCCCCATCGTTCCTGGAAGGCCTGCAGGACTTTACCAAGTCCCGATCCTCTCCATGCCTCAGGTCTGACCCTCCCCTTCCTTTGGGTGTGGTCCGGACCGGACCTGCTTTGACCTCACCCTTCTCTCAGGAAGAGGAGTTGCTGGAACCTCGGCCGGCCGGCTCAGTTCCACTATTAGTCCCCCACGTGGCACGGTGGCCTCAGGAAGGCCAGGAAGAACCACAGCCAGGCCTTGTTCTGCAAATGGCTTTGGATGCAACTGTGGGGCCTACTGTGTGAGGTGTGGTGCAGTGGGGGTCAGCCCTCCAAAGAGGCACCATGCAGTGACCCCGGCAGAGACCAGCAACCTCAATTCCGTGGTGGAACACTGAGGCCGAAGACACATGCGCAGCGCTGGGCGTGGGGTCCACGCCCCCTCCCCTAAGCACTTCTGACCCCACCAAGGGGGTGAGTGAGGGGTCTGCGGGGACCAGAGCAGACTGTACTCCCTGGGAGGGCTGTCCATGGAAGGGGTTCAGCGCCCACTGGGCAGCTGCCCCTCTGCGAGTCCACACAGTGCACACGTGTTACAGGATGTGTGAGTGTGTGTGTGACTGCAGCCCGCACAAGGGCGTCACTGACCAGGGGACCGGAGCTTGTTTTCATCTCACTAGCAGGATCCTCTCCCCCAACCCCCACCAGCCTGCATCACAGACAGAACACTCCCAAGTTTACTCCCTGTCCTCAACCCCACTTATGTGCAGGGCTCTGGAGAGATGGGGGCCAGAGGGGACCAAGGGGCATTTTCACCCAGCTTTCTGTCTGTGGCAAGTGGGTAAGCACTCAGAAAGGTCGGCAGGCCAAACCACCAGCCAGGAGCTGGCCACAGCATTGGAAACCCCGAAGGCTTGTTCTGTTGTGGTCTAGAGTCGCTGCGAGTCAGAAGTGGGCTTGGGATTTTTGGTTTGTGCCAAATGCACCCCACAGAAGGTACAGAGACCCCTGAAACATGCTGGCCAAAGCTGGACCTCTCAAACCACGTCCAGAGTGAGTTTGTGTTAATGTCTGTTGTTAAGTGCCGTTGGGTGGGTTCCGACTCATAGTGACCCTGTATAAAGTTCCTGAGGAGCAGCTGGTGGGGTTGAACCGCCGACCTTAAGGTTCACAGTCCAGTGCTTATCTTACAGTGCCACCTCAGGAGTCTGCGTTGATGTCCAGGACAACAAACAGGAGGACACAAAGGAGGCCATCTGGACAGCAAAGCTGGAGATGGTTTCGTATCTCGATGCTGGAGGGGTGGGGAGTGGTGGGGTGGGTTACTGCAGTCTGGGGGTCAGGTTACTGCACCCCAAATGGAGGGTCCCATTCATTACTCATCGATCCCCACCTGCTCTCGGGCTGACCCGAAAACCCAAATTCCAGGAGGCACCCGATGGAACCTACTGCCTTCCACCTGCCACCCAACTCTCCCCTGGGACCAGCTGGCTGAGCGCAGGTTTCAGGCCAAGAAAGAGAAAGACCACCTGGGGCCAGCGGAGCCTGGGAGCGGGGTAGGAGGGAGTGGGTTTTTGGGCATCCCCTGAACCACATCCAGCCCCCGAGAGTTCTGAACCCACATGACCCAGGGCACCTATGCCTTGCAAATCCCCACCCCAGCCAGGGGCTGTGGGGACACGTGAGGAGTTATGGTGGATCCTGAGCACAGCCCGGGGCGGGGAGGTCACACAGACCTCTAGAGAGCAGCCCCAGCCCACCGGATGTAGGAAGAACCTTTGGTGGAGCCGTCTGCATATTGGGGGGCGGGGGTGGGAGAGGACGCTGTTCTTAGGGCTGTGCCCCCTGTGGACGTCCTCCAGCAGCATGGGGCCAGGTAGCACCTGGTCAGGTGGCCATTCTCCCTGTAGGCTCCACGGTGGGGTCTGGGAGTCTGGTCAGCCAGACTCCAGTGGGTATGAACGGTGGGATTATAGGTGGGCTTGTAAACCCCTTGGCCATGACACTGCACACCTGGTCTCCAGGTTCAGGGCTGCCTCTAGCTCTGACTCGCAGACTCTCATGAGGGTCCCTGTCCAGTGTCTGGGTCCACTCAAGACCCCCAAATCAGAATGAGGATGTGGATCCCCAATTACTGAGGGGGCAGCCGCAGACCTGGTAGGGACATGGTGCTGACAGATGCCCAGAGGGGTACCTGTTACTGTCCACTGGCAGGAAACTGGGCTGCACAGACTGTGGACCTGGGCCTTGAGAGTGGCTCTGTCCTGCTGTGGGGACTGCTCCAGGTGGACGCATCACACAGGGTCAGCGGGGACCCTTGGCGGGGTGCCAGCTACACCACAAACTCCTGGGGCGGCTGGCCTTCTCCGAGGAGGTCCAGGGACAGGCATTTCAGGGCTCTCTTGCCTTGGAGGGTGGACTGGGCTGCCGGGGCCCTCCAGGAGCAGCGGCTGGTGTGGCTGTGTGTGGAGGGTGGGGAACTTTGTCCACACACGTTGTCCAGGCTCCAGCTGTGCTGCTCAGGAAGGCCTCGGGTGCTGGTCCCTGGGATCTGTGGACCAGAGCACAGGGAGGACTGAGGTGCCCTGTCCCTGTGCTGTCCCTCCAGAGGTGTTCACAGGACCAAAGCTGGTCCACAGATGACTACCAAGGACTGGCCTCCCAAACTGTCACCCACTCAGCCCTTAATCACTGACCTTGATGTTACCCCCCCCCCCCCGCCAGTATCCACACAGGGCCTTTGCCCAACCCCCAGAATGTGCCCCCAATGTCATCCCTGGCCTGGTCCTGTCTGGACCACCTGTGAGTGGGAGGCAGCAGGGACTGATGGGTCAGTCACCTACGTCGTGTGGGTGGAGATTCTGAAAGCAGGGAAGGGGATAGTGTGTGTCCATCGGTCTGTAAGCCCCAGGTCCCCAGCCCATCATCCCCAGCCCCCAGGACACAGAGGACCCCTGTGGACAGCTCAGCCCCACCCCAGTGACCACAGGAGGGCAGCTCTGACAAGAGCTTTAAGTTAAGAATGTTCGGAAGAAACTCTGAGAACGCCCCTTATTAGAGGTGAGCAGTATGATTGGTGCAGGAATGGGTGGGGGACAGTGAGAGACCCCCCACTCTGGGGACCCAGGGCTTCTCACAGTCCCCCTCCCCACGACCCTCTGACAACCATGGCTGTGGTTTGAGGGGCAGAGTAGCCGAGTGCGACCCTGCCCTGTGGTGCTGACCCCCCCACCCCAGTCCTGTGTCCATCAACAGAGGGTCTCTGGATAGACAGCCTGCGGAGCAGTGGGGTACCTGTCCCCAGTTTCCATCCCCGCCAGGCATGCAGACCCTTTCCTAGATTTCCCTACGTCTAGCCTCTCCTCTAAGTGAGTCCCCTCCAGAATAACCCAAGAAGAGGAGCCGCCTCTCCAGAGCCCTGGTCTGGGCCCTGGCCCTCTCGACACACCCAGCTGTCCACTGCCCAGGCCGGGGAGTGTGCAGATGGGGGTGTGGGAGTGCTCCACAAGGCGGCCCTCAGCCCCAGACCCCAAGGGGCTAACCCACAGGCAGCAGGTTGCAGTGTGGCTGGGGGAGATGGGAAGATGAAGGGGGTCTGGGCAGATCTGCGCCCACTCTGCTGTCGTCGTACCTGGTGCAAGGCGTCGGTGCTCTGGCCTTTCATCTTGACTAAGGTGATCTGTGCTCTGGCCAAGGGCTCCCGGCCAGAGGCTGCGGGCCAAGGGGGGTTAGCTATGGGTGAGAGTGAGTGGGATCCTGGAGGTGGGATGGGCATAGGAGACAACCACCCCCAAGACAGTCCCCCCACACCCACACACCTGCCCAGGGACCACCCCTCCACATCTCGGGCAGGTTCTAAGACTGGGGAACCCCAGGCTCAGCTCTGCCCCATGGGTCTGGGGACTCCAGAGTCACTGGTACCCTAAGACCACAGGAAGCTCTCTCACATGCCCTGGTTCCTCCCTGGACTATCCCACCGGGAATCTGGCATTGTGGCCCTGCCCACTCCATGGGGGCCCACTGACAGCCGCTCACTCACCGGTCCCCAGGTCCCGAGGGTCCCCCTTGGCCAGGCTGTGGCTGGCTTGGCTGCTGGAGCCCTCTGTAGCCACCAAGGGCTCATCCACAGACATCTCCCGTGACTCGGGTTGGGTGTCAGCCTCGATGCCGGACGTGTGAGAGCTGCTGCGGCTGTTGCCCGAGTGGCCACTGTCCCTACTGTCCCTGCTGCCCTGGGAGTGACGGTCATCTGGATGCATGTCCAGCTCTAGCGTGTCGCTGACATAGGACTCACAGTAATACTTCTTCTCTGTTGGGATGAGCAGAGCATGGGGGACAGACAGCCACTGTGCCCTGCTGTGCTGTCCTGGATCCCTGTCCAGGGCTGTCCCCAGCAAACACCACACTGGAGCCAATGCCTGGGAGAGGCAGTGGTGTGTGTGTGCCACACATACACACCAGCTACGTACACTGCACACACACATAACACAACACCACACGTACACAAGACATACACATGCCTACACACGTGTGTAAACACTGCACAGTGAGTGCATGCATACCACACATACATGCACACACATATACACACCATAACTAGCCACATACAGCACACATGTAACAGCACACATGCCATACACACATCATACACATACATACCAAACACCAACCTCATTCATGACATGCACACACCTACACACACATGTAAACACTGCACAGTGAGGGGGTCACACACCATGCACACATGTATACACACCACAACCAGCCACATACAGCACACATGCCATAAACACATAATACCACGCATCAACCTCATACATGACACACACATGAAACGTGCACACTTATACACACCTCAATCATATAAAGCTAAACACATACCACACATGTGCATCACACATACAACACACACGCTGATACATTCATCACACACCAACCACATACAACATGCACACACAATGCACAACACACAGCTAAAGGCACATTTACACACCACACACTACATATATTACACAATTGCACACAGCACACACAACATACACCTATACATGCACCATACACCAACAACATGCACTACACACATACACATACCACACACCTATACACACATCTACACACCACACACATTCACTACACAGATACACCATGCACACACAAGGCACACTCCCATACACACATGCACATGCATTACACATTAACCATGCAATGCCCATGAATGTATTCACACATTTAACACCACAGCCAACCACCTACACTACATATACACATGTACACCACACACACATAACAAACACACCGATACACACACCAAATGGGGTCAATGATGCCCACCACCCGGAATACCTGGGGGGCATGAAGCCAGCGTGTGGTCCCTGTGAGGAGGGGGAGGGTGCCAGTCACCCTGCGCTCCCCAGGCCCAGGCCGCACCCACCTTTCTCCTCCTCCAGCTGCTGTAGTTGCTGCAGTAAAGGCTGGATGCTGAGGTGGAGCCCGTGGCTGGTGCTGAGCAGATGCAGCAGGTGCCGGGAACGCACGGGGCAGCCCGTGTAGTAGACCAGCTTCCGGGCCGAGGGCAACCCGTCTGGCTGGATCTCGAATCTCTTCCCCTGGAGGGAGAGAGGGCACAGGTAATGTCCCAGGTCAATCCTAGAAACCGAAGCAGCAACAGGAAGAAGTCAGCTAGCCACCACCATGGGAACACCACGTTTCCACATGCACACAGATGTTGCAGATGCTGCAATCCAGGGCCACATCCTGCTTGGTACTGAAGTCTGAGAAAAACAGCGTCCAAAATAGCGTCAGAGGAAGCCTCTGGGTGGTGCAGTTAACACTCTGGGCTCCAGAGTGAAAAGTTGGAGCTGGGTGTCCACCCAGAGGCACCTAGAAGAAGGACCCAACGATCTACAGAGAAAATAGCCACTGAGAATCCCATGGAGCACATTCTGCTCTGACACGCATGGGCCGGCATGAGTGAGAGTTCAGTTGATACCATTTGGTTTTAACATTTGGTAGGAAGAAGTGTTTGCTGAAAAGTTCCATGTTACAGTACACAGCTCATGGGCGAGGTGGAAATTCAGGCCTGGAACGCAGAGCTCCAGAATCCCTTCTTCCCTGCCCTCCAGAGGTCCTGGGTCCCGGGACGCCCTGGGCTCAGGGACAGCGGTATGGTCTTCCTTACTGCCCTGTTACCAACTCTAACCCACGGGGACCACACCCGTGCTGAGTGGACCATGGCGGTCAGGCCCGTGACCTTTCAGAAGGGGATTGCCAGGCATGACTTCTCAGGCACCTGGACGGGCTTCAGCCTCAAACACAAACTGCTGGTACCACCTGAGGACTCTGCTACAGGAACAGGTGTGTCTAGAACTAGGCAGCCCACGCAGGTGCTCTTGGATGGACTCTGATTCTCCCGTCACTTTTGCCATGTGGGAACCCTACTACCTTGTGTGCATGGGACGTGCACGAGGGGAGGGGACAGACCTGTCTCTCATCTCGGTCCCGGTGTTCTGCGTGACACCAGGGATCTGGGGCCTGACTCTGTACCTCACCCATGCGGAGGGCCAAGTCCTAGTTCATTCCGCTGGTGCAAAGTCATTAGCTGCCTGCCCCTGTTCTGTGTGCAGGAAACCCCATTGCCAGGAGATACCCACCAGGAAGGCCAGCTTGCCAACTCGAGCCCAGGGGAAGTCATACAGCAATTTCCGGGTGCGGTTCACCTCCTGAGAAACACGGGGTAGTCAGAGGGGGCTGGGAGGAAGGGGAGGAACAGGGAGGCTCCCCAGGCCCACAGCTCTCTTACCTGGTAGATAAGCACACCATTAAGGGTTAACCCTAGAACAATGGTAGGCTGGTCTTCCTTCTTGTCCTAAACACAAGATGGAAAGTTGGAGAGCCGGCCCCTGGGAGGGGGTCTGAGCCTATCCCTCCACCCAGCGTGTTGGGGAGAGTAAGCAAGAGGGACAGTTTGCTGAGCCCAGTCCTCTGGCCCAAGGAGGAAGATGGACAAGTGCCAACGTCTAAGCAGAATCAACCCATCTGAGAGGTGCTCTGCCCCTTCGGAGTGTTAACTGCCATCAAATTGGTTCCAACTCATAGTCACTCTCTATTTGGTTTCTGAGAGGCAGCTGGTGGGTTTGAACAACCAACCTTGTGATTAGCAGTCCAGTGTTTATCCTACAGCGCCACAAGCATCCCAACGGGGAGGGAAAAAGCCCAGGTCATCCTCTGGGCAGAGGTGGACAAGAGCCAAGGTCCTCCACATAGGGACACAGAGCCTGGGCCCTCCACACACAGAGACTCTCACGTATGTCCACACATGCACACACATGCAGATGAACATCCACACACGTGCACACACATGCACACGTGTCGGTGTACACACATGCACACAGGTGGGCACACACCATTTTTCCCGGAGCTTCCATCTCCATGTCTAGCTGGGCCCTGCCACACTCAGCCCCCTCTCTGCATGGCTTTCTGCAGTCCTGGCTGGGGAGGGACAGCCGCTCCCCTTGCTCTTCCTGAGCGGGCTCCACACTCCTAGATACTAGGTTCTGGGACCCTCAGCCCTCTAACAGCGCCTGACCACCTGCCACACAGGGTGCCTCTGCTCGGGTTCAGATGGGCCTGGCCTCAAGTTGGCTCCTCAAATCGAGGCCCTGGTCAAGCTACCTGACCCCTCTGAGCTTCAGTGCCCCCACTTGGTGTCTTCCAGGATGGGGTGGGGTTGTGTAAGTGGACTGGCTCATCACAAGGTTTCCCCACGGGCATTCCTGGGAGGGATGGAAGGGCCTTGAGAGCCTTGCCCTCCAGAGCCGCCCACAGACCTTGTGCAGCCGGAAGAAGTGGACGGGCACATCGTCCAGACGGCAGGCCTCCCTGATGAATCTCAACACGGCCTCCCGGGGACTCAGGCCCCGCTGCTCACGGTGCACGGCCGGCGCGTGTCGCAGCACGTATGCAATGCCCCACTTGGCCAGGATCTGTGGGGCACTGGTCAGTGATGCCAGCCCTGCCCGCCCGCTGCCCGCCGACCTCCTCCACAGAGCTTGCGGCCTTGGAGCAAGACAGGGCCGGCCTGACCAGGGATGGGCTCCCCACGTGATGACCCTTTGCCCACCCCACCAGCCTTGTGGGAGCTAGCACCATGCAGTCACGTGGATGGGTCTGGAAGGGATGGAGAGTATTCAGCCTTGTGGGGTCAGAGGGGACCGTGCTCATGGGGAGGGGCTATGGAGGACTGGCTTTCCTGGGGGCGGGTGTGAGGGAGGAGGCGTGGCCTTGTAGGGGGGTGTGAGTGGTACAAATTTTGAGGCGGGTGGGGAGGACCGGCTCTCTAGGGAGTGAGGTGATGTTGCTGAAAACCTGCTCCCTTCTGGGCACCCTGTCCTCTGATGTCTCCGCATGTGACCATAGCCCCCCCCCCCCCCCAGTGACTCCCCATGGCCAAGGTAGGGAGGGGAGCTGGAGAGCAGGCTCTTAGCCCTGGGGGTGGGGGCAGGGTAGCGCAGGGCTGGTGGTGGAGGAGGGTGGTTGGAGAACAGGGTTTAGGTGGGGGTCAGGGCAGCGCACCCACAGTGGGAAGTAGGCCTGTGGCTCGAAGTAGCGGCCCACGTGTGCGGCCTCCCTGTGGTTGCCCAGGTCGGCCTGCAGCCCGAGCGCAGCCAGCAGGAAGTAAGCCTCTTCCTGGTGCGCACACTCGGAGCGCAGCACCTGCTCTCGGAGGTGGCGGTAGTACAGGTGCCTGGCAGTCCGGTCCCTGGAGGGGGGAGTGGGGAGACAGGCTTTGGAGGGGCACCACCTTGCACACTCCAACCAACCAGTCTCTGAGGGCCCTCGTCATTCGCTGACCCCCAAAATGAATCCCATCCAGGTTTCCAGATGACTCCCTCCCTGCCCAGGCCCGGCAACTCAAGTAAGGAAACCCGACAACTTTAGTGTGACCCAACGCCTTCCTGACACAAATACCACCTGAGGGGTTACAAAGTCTGGTGTTCAGAGATGTTGCATCTGCATAAAGTTGTCTTTAGTATTTCATTCCAAAGAAGTGATGATATACCAGCCAATCATTCAACCATCCAACCATCCAACTAGTCAACCACCCACCCGCCAACCATCCACCCACCTACCCACCAATCAGCCATCCGTCCATTCATCCATCTAACCAATTAACCAAACAATCATCCACCCACCCACCAACCAACCAACTAACCATCCATCTACCTGACCAACCAAACAACCATGTATCCATTCATTTATCCATCCACCAACCAACCAACCAACCAACCAACCAACCAACCAACCAACCATCCATCCATCCATTTATCCAGCCAACCAACCAGCCAACCCATTAACCAAGCAACCATCCCCCCCCCCCCCACCCACTCAACCAACCAGCCCACCAACCAAACCAACCACACAACCATACAATTAACCAGTCATTCACCCACCCACCCAAAAAACCAGCCAACACCAAACCAACCAACCATCCAACCATGCATTCAATCAAACAACCATTCAACCAACCAACCAGTCAACCCACCCACCCACCAACCAAGCATTCATCCATCCATGTATTCATCCAACCAACTAATTAACCAATCATCCACCCACCTGCTCACTCACTGCCCCCCCCATCTAACCAACCAACCAGCCAATATAATTCCCCCGCCCCCAATAAACTCAAATGTAAAGGTTTGGCATTCACAGGACTTGCATCTTGCCTTGGTAGGTTTACATGATTCCAGGGAATGTCTGAAGAAATCATAGAGCAGTAGATACCTTATAACCCTTCCATTTTCCACATAGAACTGCACCCGGAGGAAAGCAATGAATGGGGCATGGGCTCTCTCACCTCCCTGTGGGACATGACAGAGAAAACAGAAGGCCCCGTGAGCATGCCCCAGGAAAGGATGGCCAGCTGGCCACCTCACCATGCAGCAGTCAGCCTCACAGTGCTCTGGCTCCCAGTCTTGATGACTGTGGTACTGCACTGCTTTACCTTTTGATTTTAAGGGAAGGAAAGTATTGCAATCAAGGCCCTTTCTACCACCTAGTGGTGGAGTTGCTTCATCTGCTGTTCCCACAGTCGACTTCCAGGACAAGATCCCAAGGTAAGACACATAGAATGGCTGGCCAGAGCAGGGCATTGCCCAGACAGGCAACCTCATCAGGAGGGACAGCTTTCCAGACAAGTGGGTGACAGTCACAACAAGGGGCCGTCCCCGTCTGTTTTGACTGAGTGACGTGTAGGACAGAGGAGACTGCATCCATCAGGTTTTCAAGGCTGTCAATCTTTCTGGGAGCAGACAGCTTCAGCTTTCCCCCAGAGTGACTGGTGGGTTTCAAACACCTACCTTGTGGAGAGCAGCCCAGTGCTTAACCCACTGTGCCACCAGGGATCACTTTCCACCAACCCTGCGACTTTCCACTCACTTTATGGGTTTCCTTCTTCCAGTCCTTAGAGAAGTATTTGCTGAGTTTCTGCTCCAAGTCCATAAAGATGTACTCATTGTCTGTAAAGGAAAAGAATCGCCTACATTAGAGATGCTCCAATCATTCCAGTTCTCAGAGTCTCTTGTAATAATTGAGTGAACTCACACAACAGAAAATTCCATCAAATGAATGTAGCCTTTGCTGGCTGTCTTGGGCTGACAATAGAGGCACGTGGGAAGACGTGCCAAATACTGCTTCTTAGACTAAAATGAGTCTCTAAAATGCAGGGCTATGAGACAATATTGGAACTGGATGTGCTCATGGGCACAAACTTTGGGAAAACAGTTCAGGAATATATATCCAAAAACCCATCCTTGACTGGGTAATGCTATCCCAGATTAGAACAGCACACCAAATGTCACGTTCATGTGATTCATAGCCACGCTGTAGCCCCAGAGAGTTTTCAAGATTGTCCATCTTTCTCCTACAGAGTGACTGGTGGGTTTGAACTGCTGACCTTCCAGTTAGCAAGTGAGTGCTTAACCTCTGCACAGCCAGGGATCCTTGCTATAGAATTTTTGGTGTTGTTGTTATGTGCCGTGGAGTCGGTTCCGACTCATAGCGACCCTGTACAGGGTTTCCAAGACTGTAAATCTTTACGAGAGCAGAAAACCTCATCTTTCTCCCACGGAACAGCTGGTAGTTTCGAACTGATGACCCTGAGGTTCACAGCCCGATTCGTAACCACTACGCCACCAGAGCTATAGAATAAGTCAACTGAAAATAGAAATGCGGTCATCCTCAATATTTGTAAATTTAATATCTGGGAGTTTGCCTGCTTGCTGAAATTAATCTGTAACCTCCAAGATCAGAGCTCATGGCTTTTGTTTCTGTGGTTATTTGCAGACAGGTGCAGAGAATCCTAAAGCTTGGAGTCGCCCGACACACAGGCTTCCAGGGGTTCTGCCTTCTTGTTTTGGTTCTTATGCTGTCACAAAGGGCTCAGTCACAATCAATTTACGAACCACCAGCCCGTGCCTTTCAATCCCAACTCCCAGAATTCCTACAGGACAGAGCAGAACTGCTCTACAGTTTCCAAGGCTATTAGATCTTTACAGAAGCAAACAGCCTCATCTTTCTGCCGAGGAACGGCTGTTGTTATTAAGTGCCATCCAGTAGGCTCCTATTCATAACGACCCCATGAACAACAGAGCAATTGTGTCTGTGTTAGCCACTGTGTCCGTCCATCTTGCTGAGGGTCTTCCTCTTTTTTACTGACCCTCTACTTCAGGGCTGTGTAACAGAAACACCACAAATGTGTGTGTGTGTGCATGTGGGGGGGGGGTGGGCTTTAAAAGCAGAAACGTATCTCTCACAGGTTAGGAAGCTACAAGCCTGAGTTCAAAGCACCAGCATTGGGCAGGTCTTGGTCTCTTTTCAGCAGCTGTAGCCCCAACACTCCTTGGCAATCTCCATGTGTTCTGGCATCAGTCTTGTCTTGGCTCTAGAAGCTTCACAGTGCAGGGATCCCAGGTGAGAAGGACACACTTTTCTGTCTTGGTAGAAGTTGCTGTTGTTGTTGTTGTTAAGTGCCATCAAGTCAGTTCTGGCTGATAACAACCCAGTATAGGGTTTCCAAGGAGTAGCTAGTGGGTTTGAACCACTGACCTTACGGTTAGCAGTGCAGTGCTTTTCCCACAGTGCTACAGTAGGACTCATTCGGTGGCAGTAGGTTCTTTATCTCTGCTCACTTTTCTTTCTTTTAAAAAACTCTCTTGTAAGAGAAACTATATTGCAGCCCACACCCCCAGGAAACAGATTTACACAGGATCAAACTCGTGATGAGATTAAGGGTGTTATACCTTCTTGTTGTTAGGTGATGTCTAGTTGATCCTGACACATAGCGACATAACGGATTCCTGGCCAGTCCAGAGCCATCAGCACACCTGTTTGAGTCCCTTGCTGCTGTCATTGTACCAATCTATATCTTCTGGGGTCTTCCTCTTTTTCGCTGACCCTCCACTTTACCAAGCACGATGCCCTTCAGGGACTGGTTCCTTCTGATAACATGTCAAGTATGAGAGATGAAGTCTGGCCAGCCTGGCTTCTAAGGAACATTCTGGCTGTCCTGCTACCATCACAGATTTGTTGGTTCTCTGGCAGCCCATGGCACTTTTCATATTCTCCTCCAACACCATAACTCAAATGTGTCAATTCTTCTGTAGTTTTCCTTATTCACTGTCCAACTTTCACATGCATATGAGGTGATTGAAAACACCGTGGCTTGAGTCAGGCACATGCTGACATGTTTGCTCTTGAACACTTTAAAGAGCTCTTTTGCAGAAGATTTGCCTAATGTAATACATCCTTTGATTTCCTGACTGCTGCTTCCATGGTGTTAATTGTGGATCCAAGCAAACTGAAGTCTTGGACAACTTTATCATGATGGTGTTTATTGGCCCAGTGGCGGCAGTAATGGGCTCAAGCATAACAATTGTGAGACTGGTGCAGGACTGGGCAGGGGTTCCTTCTGTTGCACATGGAATCACTAAGTGTTGGAGCAGACTCCACAGCACCCAACAACAGCTACAACGTTTACTGGACTACTTGTGAGGATTTTTCTTTTTTTTTTTTTACATTGAGGTGCAATTCAAACTAAAGCCTGTGGTCTTTAAACTTCATCGGTAAATATTTTAAGGCCTCTTTGCTTCCAGCAAGCGAGGTTGTATCATCTGCATATTGCAAGTTGTGAATGAGCCGTACTCCAATCCTGATGCCACATTCTTCTCCATATAATTGAACTTCTTGAATGATTTGCTCAGCATACAGACTGATTAAGTATGGTGAGAGGCTACAACCTTGGCACACACCGCGCCTGATTATAAACCATTCAGTGTTCCCTTGTCTGTTCTAACAACTGCTCTTGGTCTATGTACAGGTTCCTCATGAGCACAGTGTGCTCTGAATACCCATTCTTTACAATACTATGCATCGTTTGTCATGATCCATACAGTCAAAAGTCTTTGTGTAGTCAACAAAGCACAAGTAAACATCTTTCTGGCATTCTCTGCTTTCAGCCAACATCCATTTTATGTCAACAATGATGCTCCTTGTTCCACGTCCTTTTCTGAATCTGGCTTGAATATCTTGACAGTTGGCTGTTCATTTACTTTTGCAACTATTTTAGAATGATCTTTAACAACATTTACTTGCATGTGATATTAATAATATTACTCAATGATTTCTGTGGTCCGTTGGGTCACCTCTCTCTGGAATGGGCGTTAGTATGGATCTTTTCAAATTGGTTGACCAGGGATCTGTCTTCCCAATTTCTAGATGAGTGAGTGCCTCCAGTGACGCATCACTTTGTTGGACTATTTCATTTTGTATTCCATCAATTCCTGAAGTCTTATTCTTTGCCAACGCTCTCAGTGCACCTTGGACTTTTTCCTTCAGTATCATCGGTTCTTTATCATATGCTACTTCTTGAAATGGTTCCGTATCAATCAGTACTTTTTAGTACAGTGACTTCGTATATTCCTTCCATCTTCTTTTGATACTTTCTGCATCATTCAATATCTTGAATTGAATTATAGAATTCTTCAAGATCGCAATCTGAGACTTCAATTTTTTTATTCAGTTCTTTCAGCTTGAGAAATGTTGAATGTGTTCTTCCCTTTTGGTTTTGTAACTCTAGGTCTTTGCACATTTCATTGTAATATTTTACTCTGTCTTCTTGAGCTTCCCTTTGAAATCTTTACCCAGCTTTTTCATTTATTTATTCCAGTTGCTTTAGTTTCTTTGTGTTTAAGAGCAAGTTTCAGAGTCTTTTCTGACCTACTTTTAATGACCCTTTGCTTTCTTCCTGCATTTTGCCATCCTCCAACTCTTCATTAGTGTCTAATGCATCAAGTCTGGTCTTGAAATGATCTCTAAATTCAGGTGAGATATTTTCAAGGTCACATTTGGCTCTGGTAGAATTGTTTTAATTTTCTTCAACTTTAACCTGGACTTGGATATGAGCAATTGATGGTCTGTTCCCTAGTCAGCTGTGTTTTGGATGATGGCATTGAGCTTTTCCAGTGGTTCTTCCCACAGACGTAGTCAATTTGATTCCTGTGCATTCCATCTGGTGAGGTCCATGTGTAGAGTTGCCTTTTATATGGTTGAAAAGGATATTTGCAATGAAGAAGTCATTGGTCTTGCAAAATTCTATCATGTGATCTCCACCATCATTTCTATCCCCAAGTTTATGTAGTCCAACTTCTGGTCACTGCTCTTTGTTTCCAACTTTCACATTCCAATCACCAGTAATGATCAATACATCTTAATTGTATGTTTGATCAATTTCAGACTGAAGAAGTTGGCAGAATTCTTCAATTTCATCATCACTGACTTCAGTGGTTTGTGTGGCTTTTAAATGGTCTTCCCTGTAGGCTAGTCTGGAAGTTCAGGTGAAACCTGTTCACCTTGGGTGACCCTGCTGGTGTTTAAACTACTAGTGGTATGGCTTCCAGGATTATAGCAACAGGCCAGCCAGCACGGAACTACAACCAGACAGACAAGTGGTGATGATGCCCACTCTCAATTCACTTGTGGTTTATCACATTAGATGACACCTTTGGGTATCATCACAGCCCTGCCACATAACATCATTACATGGCTGCCAAACTCCTGAGAATTAACAGCTCAGCCACGCTGACAACTTTTTTGGGAGAACACAATTTAATCCATGACAGTGTCCTTTTCCAGGGACCGGTCCCTCCTGATAAGATGTCCAAGTTATGTGAGAGAAAGTCTCCCCATCCTTCCTTCTAAGAAGCATTCTGGCCATATTCTTTTTGAGGCAGGTTTGTTTGGCTAGTGGTTTGGAACTGCCCACTTTTGTTAGCAGCTCAGCGCTTAGCCCACAGTGCCACCAGGGCCTCTTTCTGTCTGTCTCATGCCGCGGTTGTGGCCTTCCTGCGCTCGCTATCAGTGATTCCCAGGCACGGTGCTGATGTCTCCTCTTCCCAAGTATGGGAAGTGGCAAGGTTGTGACCCACTTGTGGAGGATCTGCGTGTATGAGATGAGCTTG